TTGAGCTTATCTTATAGTTTTTCAGGACAGTAGTATAAAAATGGTACATGTAGTTTTAAGTATTAGACATAGATCTTTTAAAATTTCAAAAACTGATTTTTTATCCCTCTCAAGCTCCATCATAAGCAGAACATGATCACTATATATGACCGATCCAAATCAACCCATATTAGATAAAGCTTCAAACTACAATTGAATAAATATATATTTAAGTTTAAACACATGCATGCGTTGGAATTAGACATTCAGCATTTCTAGTCCGAAACCTTCAGAGGAAAGAAAGGGAAGGAAAAATATAATTCTTTTTAGTAAAAATATAAGGTCTTGTTCGGTACTGGCGAGAGGCAAAGAAACTGCAAGCGCCCCAAATTAGGGGTCAAGGGCTCATTAATTAAAGTCAAGGAAAATGCCTACTAATGGTTCACTATCAAAAAATAACACGAGTTTGTTTCACAGGTTTTTTCTCACAAAATTTAAATTTATATTTAAACTAAACTGATCAAACCTATGTAAACTCTAATTTTATAGGCTTTCATAGTTTCATTACCAAAAGAAAACCCAAACTCTCATTTCAATGTTTTACTATCAACATATGAGTTGTTAATTTTTTTATTACCAAATATTGAAAAAATAGGTAAGTCTGAGTAATATACAAGTTGATACATCAAACAATAAAAAACTTCACCATAGGTTGTTATAAAAAGTTATTAGAATTCCTAACACTGCTATATAAAGTATAAAATATCTTAAATCAGGACAGAACGTCCAATTATTGTTTAAAGAAGAGAAGAGAAGAAAAGATGACATCAAACTATTTAATTTTGAGGATCTAGACTTATGATTACAAGTTTCGTAATCATCCAATTACGACTAATACAAATGAGCCATTGTTAATATGTAATTCCGCTGCAACTAATCATATTAATTCATGAAAAGTTCCATATAGAAAAATACTTATTTACTATAACTATCGTCTAACAACATATATAGAGAATCACAGCTCACATACATAGAAGTTTATTTTGAGCAAAAACTCACATGACATGATCCTTTTTTAAAAAAAAATATATATATATATACATATATATTGGATGAACAGTGCACGTGGCATGATATAAAAAGGATAAGTCGTGCCCTTTCCGACATCCCACAAAGGAAAGAAAAAAAAATATATTGCGTAGCCCTTAGAGGCTTTGATTGGATAGATATGACTCTGGCTTAGTTCGGTAGTATTGTAGATTTTGGAAAAATTATTTTTAGTTGTACTGAAAAAAAAAGCAATTGTCATAAAAAGTAGTTGAGTGTTTGATAAACTATAATTATAGTAGCCGTGTTAGTTTTAAAATCAATGTAATAGCATTTAGTAAATTATAAAGTTAAATTGCTATAAATAGTTAAAAATTACGACTATATTATATTATACTATAATATACTATATATATATATATAATTACAACCAAACTAAGCCTCTATCTAGCTAGCAAGGTATATATATATGCATGCACAAGCCCTACATTACAACGTACGCACACACACTAATGATGCATCGCATTTGTCAATGTTTTTTTTTTTTAGTTGAATATACATATATTTATATTTATTTTTGTGATATATAACAACCTATAGATAATCAGTAATTCGATTAATCTGAATATTTGATGAAGAATCCGTCATGTTTAATTAATGTTAACATGTTACTTATATATGCCTGTTCTCTAAATTTCTGATTCTTCAAGTTATTTGATAAAAAAAAAAAATCCTTTATATATGTGCGCGCGCTTGCACGTTGTTTATATCGATGATTAATTTTCCTCTAATTTAACTTGGATATGTTGTACATCGGTACTTATAATTACAATGGACCATGCAACGATCAACTACGAATAAAGATAGGCTTATATCAGGGTTTTTTTTTTTTTTTTTTTTTTTTAAATTTAAAGAAACAGGTTTTTATCAGTTTGTGTATTAGGTTGTTGGAAACACTAATTAACAATATTTTAAACTGAATAAATATTTTTTTAGGTATGGATTATGGTTTAATGTGACCACTACGATTTGAAAATTAGGGATCTCACTTACAAATCTTCACTCTTTTGTGAAAATTGATTGCAATTAACAAATCAACAAAATCCATTTTGATAGCAACATAATTTAACAAATCAACATATAATTTGGAATAGAAAACTTAATTAGAAAGATGCAGAATGACATGAAGAACTTGAAGTGCCGCAGGTACTATATAACATATACCCACATATATATTAGCTAATTATATACGGACCTCCTGAAAATCAGTAGTTCTAGTAATTAGAAATAAGCAGATAACCACATATAAATGAAAGCAATTATATAAAACGACATGTATCTAATTTTTTGTTCAAATCCATCATGTCTTTTTTTTTTTTTTTTTTTTTTTTGCGGGGTTTTTAATATAACTATAGCTTTCAACATAATTCTGGCTTTATGTTTCACAACTACATATATAAGACAGTTTGCTGACAACATTCGGTAGCCATATTCTTCTTTCAAGATCTAAACAAAAAGGATATATAGGAGCTAAGGAAAACAATATCAATACTTATTTAAGGATGACCTAGCATATTAACTTGGAGTGCTAATCCATCAGCTGGCCATTTTGGACCGTCCATATATTGGAGATAAATGATGACCAGATAAGGTATTTAAATATGATAAAAAAGTGGAAGTGAGGGAAGCATGTCAACATTCTTTAAATCATCTGGCACACCAAGGAAATATACTTGATCCATTATGTTTGTGGACGAGATAAATACGACCAGCAAATATTCAAAAATATTAAAACTTTAGCATAATGTGTACCATAAGATATAATTATTTATTCATGACATAGAATAACAAAATGTATGCTCTCTCTCTCCATGGTCGGCTCTTGATATATATATATATATATATGATCCAAGCTTAATTAACACCAAGTCCAAATCCAGCCTCACATCCCCATTAATTTTCCCGCCATAATTAATGCCTACTTAATTTTCAATTAGTTTTAACAACTCATTTAAATTATTGAAAACCCACTTGACAAAGAAGCTTACAAGAGTACTGTTGATGCTAGATATATATATATATATATATAAAGATTAGAACATAGGTTCAACATGCTATTGCAGACCGCACATCAGCTATACTTCCTTGGCTTTGTTAGCTATTCTTCACGTGCCACAGACAGAGATTACCGCTAAGGACGCATGGTTGTAAATATGAAACTGTTGTTTTACGCATGGTTTCATGACTTGTTATAATGCATAACTGATTAGCCCATTGTTTTAGAAGCGTATTGGTTTATTTGACGTATTTACTATTTAGTGTCTGAAATCTATTTCTCATGTGTTGCTTTCTGATGACGACATGATGATGTAATTTGTAATCATATTTGAAAACTATAGTTCTATAAATTAAGTCATCTGTACAACTGCTACTCAAAGTACCATAAAAATGTCAATGTCAATACAAATTTTCTAAAACTTTAATTTCAAGACAAATATAAACTTAAGAACCAAAGTTTTCATCATCTCCCTCATATACTCGATGATATTGATTAATTATGCAATCATGATTACCACAGACATAGTCGATATATCATATGGAATAAATGTCAATACTAATAAAGTTCTTAACGTTTGCTCTCGAAATGCAATGAGCCCGGGCTCAGTTATACTAGTTTATGAAATTATATGGATCCCTTCAAGTGCCTGAAAAATTAACTAAACTTACTGCCGTAAAAATGATGATAATAACAATAAAACTTACACGTCGACAGCGTACGTAAAAGAACAGGTTAATATTCAACCACTTGATTTCTACAAGATACTGATCATAGATTCGTATATATGAAATATGCTATATAATTATAAGGAGGTGATAAAGCATCGGTAGCATTGAAAGAGTCAATGTCATCAAACGTGTTTGTTTAACACAAGAATAGGCAAGGGCGAGAATTATGCTTTACTTTAATTTAGTGCAAATAGAAATAAATAAATGAAAGTGAGAAGCAGTAAAAATAAAAGATTTAACAAAACATTGTATGTATCATTTGAGCGATTAATATTTACATTCAGACAAAAAAAAAATCACGTATTTAATTACAGCTATATAATTATAAGGAGGTGATAAAGCATCGGTAGCATTGAAAGAGTCAATGTCATCAAACGTGTTTGTTTAACACAAGAATAGGCAAGGGCGAGAATTATGCTTTACTTTAATTTAGTGCAAATAGAAATAAATAAATGAAAGTGAGAAGCAGTAAAAATAAAAGATTTAACAAAACATTGTATGTATCATTTGAGCGATTAATATTTACATTCAGACAAAAAAAAAATCACGTATTTAATTACAGCCTGTTTTTCTGCAAAAAAAAAAAAAAAAAAAAGCCTTTAAGATGCTCTAATTATATGGTTAACAAGCTTTTTTATTTTTATTTTTAATAAGGCTAGAAGTACAATTCATATAAAAAAGAATGGTGAAAGTTAAAAAAAAAAAATTAGGATGTCATCGCGCGTTAGTCTCTACTCTCTTTTAACCCTAAAACTAATAATAACAATAATTTAATTTAGCATTTAGAGCCTATTAGTACATGACAATGAAACTAGCACAACTATCGCGGCGGTCCACGTCACCACACACATAAACAAATCATATGGTCGGTCAAGCAAAACCGCCAACAATGATTAATGAGCATGCACGGCCCCACTTTCCACAGCCAATGGTCGGCGATCGACGTTGAAAGTCACATCAGACCGTACACGTGGCGGAAGGGGAACAACCCGGAGGCTCGGTTAATTGGCTGTCCAGACAAGGACAGGTGGCGATAAAACACACCCCAATTAGCTCTTTTGCCCTGAATTTTAGCTTCTTATCGGATTGAAACCGGCTATCCCGGTCACCACCGTTTGACATTTTCCTGGGGACTTGTTATATATAACTGTCACTAATTTGAGCCGAACAAGCACAAAGAAGAAGTCTTGGTTTGCATTGTATAGAAACTCAAAGCAAATCCGAATTCTTTACAACAAAAAAAAAATGCCGATCTCTAGAATCGCCGTAGGAAACCCAGCTGAGATCGGCCAAGCCGATGCTCTCAAAGCGGCTGCCGCCGAGTTCTTCTCAATGCTCATCTTTGTCTTTGCGGGCGAAGGCTCCGGCATGGCTTTCAGTAAGCAACTCTCTCAATTTTCTTTCACAGAATACCATTTTGGATTTTTGTTTGTTTTTTTGGTTTTTTTTTTTTTGGGGCGGAGAGATCACTAATGAAATTTGATATTGTTTTATTGGCAGACAAACTGACAGACAATGGTGCGTCAACTCCGGCCGGGCTCATATCGGCGTCGTTGGCCCACGCGTTTGCGCTTTTCGTGGCTGTTTCGGTTGGCGCGAACATCTCCGGCGGCCACGTCAACCCGGCTGTCACATTCGGCGCGTTCGTGGGAGGACACATCACTCTCATCAGGAGTATCTTGTACTGGATCGCCCAGTTGCTTGGATCCGTCGTTGCTTGCTTGCTTCTCAAGATCTCCACTGGTGGATTGGTAAGTTCTGTTCGCTGCATGACAAATCACCAAATCCACGTAAACAACCTATATGCATATATATACATGCATGTACATACATAGTACATACATATACATATGTATGTATGTATATATGTAGATATATGACATTGATTTAGCATTCCTAACAATAGTAGCGAGGTCGTAACTTTTTTTTTTTATATACATAAAGTTCTTAATCTCTTTAACTTGAGTAATCATTGTGCATCATCATTAATTTGTCAAGACATTATGTTATAATATAAGGACTTTACTCAACAATTCTTTTAATATCGTTTACTTTAACAATTCTTAACAAATTAAATATCACCAATGTTGTTGAATATTTATAATTCAAAGAATGTAATTTTAGGGTTAAAAATATTTAGTATCTTTCTTTCTAAGGCTAAAAAGAAAGTTAGATGATGACAGAGAGAAAAAATATATATTAAACACTATAATTTTCTAAATATAGTAAGTTTTGTCATGCAGGAAACATCTGCCTTCGCACTGTCCGACGGTGTAGGAGCATGGAACGCCGTAGTGTTCGAGATAGTGATGACCTTCGGCCTGGTCTACACGGTGTACGCGACCGCAGTGGATCCAAAGAAGGGTAACATTGGTATAATAGCACCAATTGCTATTGGTTTCATCGTGGGTGCCAACATCTTAGCCGGTGGCGCGTTCGACGGCGCGTCCATGAACCCCGCCGTGTCATTTGGGCCCGCCGTTGTCAGCTGGACCTGGGCCAACCACTGGGTCTACTGGCTCGGCCCATTCGTCGGCGCAGCCATCGCAGCCCTTGTCTACGAGATCATCTTCATCGGGCCAACCACACACGAGCAACTCCCGACCACAGATTACTAGGACAAAACTTACCTAAGGTATTTGTCAAAATTACCCATTAAAATATTCTGTAATGGATTGGGTGGGGTTTGTTCGGTTTGGATTTAATTCCGTGGGGGGTTTTTGTGGTGTTTGTTTGTATTTGGTTGTTGTTAACTGTTGATTCCTCTAGTGAATCTTGTCGTCGTTTCTTTTTTTATGTTTCAGTCAATTTATCTTGAGAATTATTCCCTTTGTCGTCTCGGTTTATAAAGTTCCTTTCAAATTTTTAGGCACCGTGAGTGATAAAGTGAACCACCTACTTCACTAAAAACTAAGATTCTAATATTTGAATCATTTAGGCACCGTGAGTGATAAAGTGAACCACCTACTTCACTAAAAACTAAAATTCTAATATTTGAATTGATTTATGATTCGTTACAGTATTTTCTCTAATAAAAAATACACGTAAATAAAAAATAATTCTAATTCATAAAGTAAACGTCTCCTAAAACTTGAGATAGAAAATGATGGGCAGAGAATTATAAAAAATAAAAAATAAAATAAAATAAAATAAAAGATTATTAACAGCGACAAAATGCAACAAAGAGGGCTAGCACAATTGAGGCACATAGGCCCTACGTCTTGTAATGGCCGGTGGCTTTAGTTAGTAACATGGAGGCCTTGAACCACTTTCTGATGTGACATCTCATTCGGCCCAGTTATGCACTAGAATAACAATTAATATATCCTCCTCTCCAAAAAAAAAAAAAATGTTTACCATTGGACATCACAATTAATAGAAAATATGTTTTATCTGTGGGTCTAATATCACATGACCCACCTTCTATTGATGTGTTAGTTCTCAGCACCACCTTTTATTTAAAAAAAAAAAAAAAAAAGTTAAGCGTTCATATGGTAAACACAAATGAAGAAAACTAAGTCCTAAATCCCATTTTTCAGAGATCCTGACACAATGCGACAACACCAGATTAACATTAATCTTAGTTTTAAGAATTTATTTTTAACTACTATTTATTTTTTATTTTTTTTATTATTGAGCTGTAACTCTATCCTATTTTTCTAGACTTGATGCTTATAACTAGGCAAAGGGTTAATCAGAGTGGAAATGCGCTTGACTTTTAAGAGCATCTTTCACTAATTGAAAGGTACGGTCTAAGATTCGGGCCCTAGTTTTGCCCTTTGAGTGTCCAACCGAATGGGAGTATGGCATGGAAATGACATGCCACCTTGATCTAAGAATAAATAGATTGGAATAACTCGGCCAATAACTTGATTGCCAATGAGATCACCGAGTAGAACATGGTATGATCCAGACATACGACCTTGTTATCTGCATGGCAAAATCTACACAATTTTTTTATAATCTAAGCTCAGATTCAAACCGTCTAAGTCCTAGCATGTGAAATGAATAGTAATTTTCACTTATGTACTAATCAGTCAAGCAAACAAACATCTATTTCGTTCAAAAATTCATAAGAGGCAAACTTACCTCTACAATTATATTTGCAAATTCTCATATCACAAAACTGCTGAGGTGATTGCAATTTCAACCTTCATTGCTGGTACGATCCACCGCAATTAAACAGATGAAGCGCCAAATTACACTTATTTTCTAACTTCAAGCGGTCCTTAAGAGTATCCCACACATCAAAATTTGGCAACAAAATAAATCATCGTGACATCAATTTTTATGGAAATAATATCCTTGACAATGTTTCAAGTACATGCTCTAAATACCCAATTGAATGCTGACTTTAGTTCATGTCATTGCTACTTCACTTCTTCTTCTTCTTTTTCTGCTCGTGGTCTTTACCCAATTTCGATTGCCGTTGCTTGAACAAATGCAGGTAAAGTTTCAACCAGAGGAATGGATAAGTTGGAAGAAGAACCTGGAAAATAAGAAGAACGGATTTTCAAGTGGATTTCTACAACATAAAGAAAAATAAATTTAAAAGGACTGACATATGAATTGGCCAGTACTTACTATATATCCAGGAAACAACAGCACATGTTCATGAGGACAAGGTCATTTCTCACAGCAGAAATTATCAGGAAACTCTTTCCGGAATAAACTTTCATTTTCAAAATGCGGATTATTAGGATTTAAAGCGGAATAAACTCTTTCGGGAAACTCTTTTATTTTCAAGGAAGGTTAAAATATTCCCCAACTTCTCTATGAAAAAAGTAACAACTAACAAGGCAAGGTGGTCAGTATTTAAATGTGTTTTTGTGCCTAAAGGCTAAAACATACACAATTCATGAAATGGAGAACTTTAGAAGCACATAACTGAAAATAGTGTACCATTTCAATTTTCATCTTCACTATATAAATTTTTACATTAATTCAAATCATATTCTTGGGATAAACAAGAGTTAAGAGTCGAGAGTATTTTATGTTCATAAGATTGAGCTAGCTAAAATTTTTGACTTACCGAGAGAAAATTGTGATAGAGAAAAGGGAAACTAGGGAACAATACATCAGCGAGGAGATTCTTCTTCTTTATGTATGAAAGTGCCCTGTACATAATCCACACTGCACATGGTAATGACCAGATAGCATTAATTCAATCATCAATTAGAAAACAAAAAAGGTGATCATTTGATCATAATGGCTTTTGCATTTCAAAACAGAATAAAGTCATTAAGCTGGCTAAGTGATTCATTTACTTACTTTCAGCAGATTCTCCAGTAGGATAAAGCACAGTAAATGCGGTGTACCTAATGAAAAAGCAGCACAAAAACTAAAAATTAGCTTCAAATAGAAAATATTTTCCCCTTGTATGGAAAAAAAAAAAAAAGTTTGAAACTTATTTTAAGGAGTAATAAAAGTAGTAAAAAAAAAACCTGAGGTACACAATCCAATATGGACACTTTCCAATACAATTCAAGGCGTGATGAGGATATCTAATCACCTGCACTATGCACAAACAGAAATTAAAGGAAGAATTTGTTAAGTGAATATTTTTCTGGATAACTTATCAAAAGGTTAAGTCACATTTTATTTCTTAGAGATGATTTGGCCACTTATTTGATGCATGTTAGAGTCATATGCATGAAAAGACCTTCATATCAACCTTATTGATTCATGTTAGACTCGATTGAGAAACCGAATTCCTCTGCTAATGAGTTAATTTCTCTAAGAACTTGCATTATAATACTTTCTTTCTTTCTCTTTTTTAATGTAAAACGAGTAACACAGAGTCAAAAGCAACATTTTAAATTTTAATTATATCTGCACCTCTCCCAACTCATGTCGTTTCTGTTTCTCGTTACATGCTGCTTCTTATTTGGTAGTTCTCTTTTCTTTTGAAGTTCATATTTGGTAGTTTTTTTCTTGTTCATGTAGTTTGTTAAGTCTATTGTCGTTTATATTGTTGTTGTCTTCTATTAGATGTTGTTTATTGAGCTTCCGCCCTTCCAGTTCATAGCATTTGTTTACATTGTCATTTTTAATTCATCTCGTTTTTTCCTGTTTCCGTTCTTTTTGAATTTGATGTCGTTAATTGCTTTTAGCTGTAGATGTCGTTTGTTAGTGACATTGTAGTTTTTAGGTCGTTAGTTATTTTTTTTTGGTCATTTTCTAGTTGCAATCTTTTTTCCATTCAATGTCGTTTATTTTTGTTGTCGTTTTTTCAATTGAAGTCGTTATTGCATTTTATGCTTCCTCATACTGCGCTTTTTGTTTATTTATGACATCATTTCAGCTTTTTCATTGTCGTTTTATGTAGCCCCCGTTCATTTCACCGATTCGAGTTTTGCTACAGTAAAAAGCTCTCAGAAACAGTCACATCTAATTTTTTTGCTACAGTAAAAAACTTTCACATAAAATCACATCTCAACTCGAATTAAAAACTTAAATCAGCGAACTAAACGGGCCGACTCTCTTTGGAGTTTATTATTGTTTCTAGACTTACGTATTATCTCACAGTCGTTCATTCAGTTTCTGTCGTTTTCTAAAGTTACTGTCGTTTTCTCACGCCATCCCACTTCCCTACCCTCCTACCTTTGCCCGCAGCGGGCTCCACGCCAACACAGACGACAAAGTTACCTAGTTGTGTTTTCTAAGCAAAATCGGTTTAGTTTCGAAGAAAATGCGTTCTGAACTCTGATCCCTTTTCCGTTGTTTCCTAGGAAATCAAGCTCTCTTCTGCTAATCTCAAGAGGAAAAAAAATAATTAAGATAAGGAATATGTCTTTCGTTTGTGTGTTTTTTTTTTTTTTTTTTTCCTAAAATGGGCATGAAAAATGTATGTGCACATGGCTTTACGAGTGGTTTGTTAGAGATGTAATTTAACGTGTTTCTACAACAGGTATATCTAAATAACGCATTATTTGCGCATTTTAGCTACTTATTCAACATTGTCTTCCACTAATTTATCTTAAAAAAAAAAAGGATCTTCCACCGATAATGTAAGTCAAAGTAAAATAATAATAATAATAATAATAATAATAATAATAAATCGAGATAAATTTCCCAAATTTGAGAGTTCAGTTTAGCTTAACGAAATTACCTCACTTAAGCTCCAAGCAGTAAACGTAATGAACACCGCAGGCGACTCTTGGAGCTGCAAAATCATTAGGACAATTGGGTTCCAATTAGTTTCTGTACAGAAAGCAGCAATACCATTAAAAGAGGAACAAAAGCCCCATGCCTAAAACAAACGCCATTTAACATTAAGCATAAAATATGCTAAATGAAATGTAAAAAAGTTACAAGTTAGTTAGGGAACCTCCTCAATTTGTCGAACAATGACCAAAATGACGTTAGTCCTTCCTCCCCATTGCATCAAAGGAAGCAGCATCCCACTCGGCACCAGGCCTGCAAAGAAGTACAATCGTGATCAATTAAGAATTTTGCACCACTGATTCATTTTTTCAGTTTTTTCATCTAAATAGCCCACTCTTTTTTTTCCCCCTTCTTTTTTGTGATTCTCAACAAAATACCCTGAACACAAACAAGTACCTACCAATGGCTCCATGTATAACTTCCAAGAACGCAGAAACTTGCAGCAAACCTGCGAACAAGACAAAAACAAAAACAAAAACAAAAACAAAAACAAATGAAAAACTCCATCCTGATTAATACACATGTCGTTTCCTGAATTTTTGTTCTAGGCGTGAAAGTTGAGAAAATAATTATAGAAAGACAGACATATTAGGTCTCCTGCGGAAGCATACGCCCCGGTTAAGGTGCCAGTAGATATGAAGTCGCTCAAGATTCTAGAGAGACAAACTGCCCTGCCATTAAAAAATTAGAAAATTCTAAGAACAAAGAAAAAGAAGGAAAAGAAAAAAAAGAAACACTTTTGACGAACAAGGAGTTAGTTGGGAATTCAGAGGCTCACCATCCAAAGGCCTGAAGAGAATTGTAAGCAAAGAGATAGAGATTAGATAGCGTAGGCATCTCTAGAGAGAGAGAGAGAGAGAGAGAGAGAGAGAGAGAGAGAGAGAGAGAGAGAGAGTTCAGTCGAGTCAAGTGCCAAAAACCTTGGTGGTAAGTATGTCAAAGTATCATTTGAAGTGTTAGTGAAACGTCGAAAACGTGTGTCTTCATTGGACTTGGGACCTGAAGCAAGAGCAATTTGTGGCCTCAAGTTTCTTTAGATTGGGCTACGCTGTAATGTACCCATATCACAACGGACCTAGATCTTTTATCTAATTTTTAATGTCTCAATTAATATCTAATTAATTATATCGTACCACACATCATTTTATGATAAGTATAAAAAAATTAGTTAAAAAATAGATTAAATTTTTTACATGATGTATTATGATATGATTGGTTAGGTCACTAATTAAGATACTAAAATCGACAAAGCTCTTATATTGTTTTCCACTTTTTTTTTTTTTTTTGAGGAATAGATTGCCTTCAACGTGCATGTTACAATTAAAAAAGTTGTATGTTATAATGTCACTCTTTCTCAGACACAAGTTTTCCTTTTCTTTTTTTCTTTTCTTTTAAAAGAAATGTTTGGTACCCCAAAAAATTACGAAAAGAGGAGTCGACGCAGCTGATAATTGAAAAAAATTGGTGGGATACTCCCTTTGCATGATCTATATTAATGAGAATTATAAGAGCAGGAAAAAAAAAATACTTTATTAGTGGGTTCTGTTTTGAACCATTATATCTGTTGGACGTTAGCATCTATTTTATTCAAATAAAATTTTAATAAGATCTAACATTAAAAACATGCACATCGGTTGGGTAACCCCGTTATAGAAAACTTCATATATTGCTTTTTTCTCGTATTTTCTTCGGCCTGGCTCCCATGGAAACAATGATTTATTTTATGGATTTGATGGATGATGAAGGCGAAGATCGTCAAAGAAATGAAAGCAATTCGTCGCCGATGGATGAAGAAGGTAGATTGGATTGAGGACTTGGCATCTGATTTTAGAGGTTAATTTTCACTCTTTTTACTTGGGATAGTTTTCTTGGCATGTGACTTCAAGTCGCATGGTGGAGAGACCAACTTTGAAGTCAGTCAAATCAAGTCACCTAGTAGTTGACAAATATCACCTGGTGGGTGACTATCCTCTTTATTGACACGCCAATGTGTTCAGTAAAATCAAGGTAAGTGGAGTTGATTACTAATGAAATGACAAGACTCATCTTGGAATCAGGGAAGCCGCAGCCGAAAGAGCTTCTTTAACCTTTGTCTTAACAGAAAAATTTTTACACTTCTTTTCTTTAAGAGATGTTTGGTTCATGAATTAAAACTACGTGATTAGAATTATTTTTGATTTACGTGTATTTTTATGAGAGAAAATACTGTAACGAATCACGAACCATGATTCGAATCAGAGGACGAATCTCCCAACCAAACAACCTCTTAATTTTTTTTCCTACACTTCTATAATTATGAAAATTTTATGAGTTTTCTTAAAACTTTCGGCTACACCCCAGGTTTTTAGCTTTAAGTACCTATTTTAAACCTAAAATGGCAAACAAAAGGTGTATTGCGAAGATAGTTACAAAAGATATATATATATATTAATTTATTGATTTGAGTTTTTAATTTGAGTTGAGATGTGACTTTTTGTGAAAGTTTTTTACTGTAGTAAAAAAGTTAGATGTGACTGTTTTTTAGAGTTTTTTACTGTAATTTTAAATTCCAATCGGTGAAATGAACGGGACCTGAGACCTTATATACTGCTATTATAATTTTAGTTTAAATTTTTTATTAAATTTCACGCCCTTTTAAAAAATATATTCATGGCTCTGCCACAGGCTAATAACAATCACCTAGTGGTTTGACTAACTTATGTCTGGCACATCTATTTTGTTAGAGTGATCCAATCAAAATATCAACTTTTCCTCCTTGCGAAATAAGAACCACAAATTGATATATAGAAACGCTCTTTTAATGCTCAATTGAAAAAAAAAAAAAAAAAAAAAAAAAAAAAAAAAAAAAAAAAAAGCAACAGGCAATGTCGTTTATTAAGAGGAATTTCAAAATGTACGAGTCGTATTGGTCTTGTGGACTTTTATTAGGTGGTTTCATCTCACGCGAAAAAAGATACAAGTGGTTTATATTGATTGGCAATTTCTTTGGATGGCAACACAAGAAGGGACGCGGGCTGTTGGTTGGTTGCAGTCATAACCTAACAACTAGCCGTTAAATATAGAGTTTGAATTTCTCATTTTCAAATTCAAAAGGGACGGTGAAGAGCAAAAAAATAAAAAATAAAAACAAAACACACACCACCCTAGTCTTTTCATAAAAAGCGAAATTTGGGTTCCATTTCAAATCAAATGCTTGACCAGGCAAGAAAAACTGACTTAACAAGAAGGGTGCATGTTCTGTGAGGGCCACCCTCCTCTCGGAGAGAACCTCTTGTTAAAACTAGTACGATGGACAGAGTTAGGGGAGGAAAAAAGAGAAAATTATTAAATTTACGGGTTGTTTGGTTACTAAATTTATGTCATGATTCGAATCATGGTTCGTGATTTGTTACAGTATTTTCTCTCATAAAAAACACACATAAATTAAGAATAGTTATAAATTATGATTTTAAATCCATCAACCAAACGTCCATAATTCTTAATTAATATTCTTTTAATTACTATAATTATCTCACTACAGAATCTTAAACTCATATATTTTAAAGGATATTTGTCTATTTATTTCTTAAGAAGATGACGCGCACTTGATTGAGCTAAATAGAAATGCTCGTTTTGTGCCCTTACCCGTAAATTGCACTTTACCAACCTAATCATTTTTTTCGTCTTATTATTAAAATCTTTATTTCTACTAATGCCCTTCGCAATCGCATTAAAGGAAGTCATAGGGGGTGCCTGGTGGGGTGATCTTATTAGGCCTAACCCAGCACGTAGTGGGCCATCCCAGCAAGATCCACATGTCAAAGTCAATTTATCGGGTAGGAATTGTCTCGTTTTTTATTTTATTTAAATTGTGGATTTGAAATTTTTATTATTCACTTTTAGATCCTTTTCACTGATATACTTATTTGATTAAAAAAATATTAATTAAAAATAAAAGATTAAAATTTAGATTCTTGTATTTATCTCTTTTTCTAATTTAGGTTTTTATATTATTTAAATTCGCGTGCATGTAAAACTCTCTTAATTAGCTGCAAAAGGAATGAATTATTAAGTAAACAACAGTGGACATATAAACATATCTTGGAAAGGTTCATGGATTTGGGTGGCTACCAAATAATCTTTTTTTGCTAAATAAAAATTGGAAAAGGGTATGTTTAATAGGAATATTATAAGAGCAGTTTCCCTGCTTGGTATTTTGTAAATTTATTAAGTCGCCTTTAGCAAACATCCTTCATCCTTCTCCCAGTTAATTCACCCCAGCTGTCACCTTATTTTATTCGTTTTCTAAAAAAAAGAACAAATTTTTAAAATTATTATAATATTATTCATAGAAGACTAGCCCTATTCCACCATGCCTTGATGCTAGTGTCTTTAGTCTTTTCATAAAAAGCCTCATTGGTATTTTTGCACGAGATAAGAGTAAAAAATCATAAACATTGCATCTGGACAGCCTAGAAGAAGAATCTCTCCTTTCTCCCTGAAGATTCCTATAGTCCCTCTCCAGTCAAAAATTCTCTGCAAATCTTTATCATCAATTATAGGACCAGCGTGTACAGGTTCTACTTCTGACTAATTATGAATTAGTACTGCTTTAATTAATATAAGAATATCATGTATCATAAGGCTCTTTTAAAACTAATCAGATCAACTGTTAAACAAAACTGATCATATACTATAATATATTTTAAAAAACAAAAGGAAGGGATCAACTCTGTGGCAACTGCTACATATATATATATATATATATATGTGTGTGTGTGTGTCTGTGTGTGACTATATATATTATGTATTTGTGTGTGTGTGTGTGTGTGAGAGAGAGAGAGGGAATAATATATAAATGGCGATTTAACAAAGAAAGTAAAATTCGAATACCATAAATGGAGCAACAGAACTTGATCATTAATTTAAGGATTTAAATCCATGACTACTAATCAAACGGCGTATTATACAATGGATCATGATCCAAGAAGTTGATATACCAACAACTTGGTCTGGGATTTCTTGGTGAAGTTCTCTCTCAGCTTCGCTTCTCTGAAAAAAAGTAGTAGTAGTGATGAAAAACACACAAACCATGATCATGACGATCGATGATATACGACACAAACTTAATTGCGTGTACTAAATATCAGAAAAAAGGCTTAGAGAAAACCCATACTACAGTACAGCTGAAATATGCAGAGGTTAGATACAGCCTTCCTTACGATGACGACGACGACGACGATGATAATAACCTGTATTATACATGATTATATGAACAAATCTAAATGAATCAAATCCTAATCACCCTGTTAGAGATTCTCTCCGTATCCAAAGCAAGAGAAGAATTGGTCGTTTGTTGTTGGGAAAAACGGCTTATAACCCGCTTCATCATCCATTTTCCAAAGCGAGTCAGAGCAGTAGTACTTATGATCATGATGGTGATCATCCCACACCGACGAACACGACGTCGTTAATGGAGGACAAGAGATCAAGTTGTTGTTGCCGTTAAAATTATTATTGTCGTTTCCACAATTTTCAGCGTCATAAAACGGTAATTTCATGTTAATAATGTCGTTGTTGACTTCTGGGAGTGAGATTTCCTTCCATATGTCGTCCATGGAGTAGTAGCCCTTTTCCTTTTCCTCCTCTTTCTCAAGCGCCTTTTGGTCATCCTGATCATTGTCTGGTGATTTCTTCTCCTTGGGAGCCGAAACGACATGGCCTCCGGTGTCGTAGAAGCTCTCAACTCCGGTGGTGCTATCCGGGAAGGGCAGAGACTCCACGGTGGTGATGTTTGAGGAAGAGGAAGAGCTCTTAATCGAGTTCGACGACGACGACGACGGAGATGAAATATTATTGGCTCGCTTCTTCTCTTGAGCCGTTTTCCTCATATGAGTCCTCCAATAGTTCTTGATTTCGTTGTCCGTACGCCCCGGTAATTTCCTAGCAATTCTTGACCATCTGCAACATAATTACTAAAAATTATTACCATATATTACTATAACAAGCAAACAAAACATATATGTATATCCAAATTATAACATAGAATTAGAAAAATTAAAACATGGAAAATTAAGAATTGGTCCTGGTATAATGAAGAGCTTTTTCTTCTTTACATATGTGAATAAATAGTTGCATAATTAACAATTATAACATACACATATGGGAAAGATTCAAACACATGTGAAACTGTACGGATTGATTAAGCAAACAAGACTATGAGAAATATGATGCTATTAATTTGGCAATATTATTAACACGTGTTCTAAAAATTCAAACCTATTTCCCCATTTGGCGTGGAGCTCCAAGACGAGGCGTTCCTCTTGAGGGGTCATCTTGCCTCGTTTGAGACCAGGGTGAAGGTAATTAACCCACCGCAAACGGCAGCTCTTACCTGTTCTGTTCAAACCTACAAAGTACCCAAAAAAAAAAAAAACCAAAAAAAAAAAAAAAAAAAAAAAAACTTGTGTGTGGTTAAAAAATCTAGCTCCATCCAAAAATCCGCAATTCCCGAATTTGCATACCTATTACGTGTCTCCCTCCACCTTCAAACCTGAAACTTTGGCTATGAAATCCCATCGCCGGTCGCCGAACAATCCGACAAAGCAAACTAGTTGCAAGTCTTCTTGTTCTGTCCATGGTCCCTTGCGGATTTCCTCTTGAACAACCATTTTCTTTCCTTCTTTGTTCTTTGTTCTTTCTTTTCTCTCTCTGTTACTTTTGCTCCGACTTCTGCTTTTTTTTTTTTAGCTTAGTACGTGGAGAGCTAGGTGTCACACCATATTTATACCAATTAGCCGGTATGGTATATGGAGTGTTGTGGTATATGGCCCTCTGGTGATTATAATATGATGATAATCTAACGATCTTGACCGTACATGTGGACATGTGGTGCGCGCATGGTTTTTACTTTTGATAGGCACTTTAGGGATCTTATGTCACCACCACCGTAATAAGGCAATATAATCAGAGTGAGAGAATATTGATATGCTGGTCTGGCTTTCAAGATTAGCCTCCATGTAACTGACAACTGTATGTATACATATATATGCACCACCAATATTTTCAAGAGCGTGTAATTTCATCCTATATTTCTACGAGGGTGTTAAAAGTTAAGTCTTAATTCTCTTTTTTGCTACATATGTAATTATATGTGGTTCTCATATGATCACATGTGACGTATATAATTACTATACCTTTTTGCTTAATTTTGATTGGTTAAGGTTGTAATCCGATCATCAACGAAGAAAAATGGGAAACGGAGAGTACTCGATTGTGACTGTTTTGGTAAAAAAAAAATCAGATTATATATTTTATAAAAATGAAATAGCAAATTAGGCATGGTTGGATAAAGGGAAATAAGTATGGAAGTCACTAGATCACCTTCAACTTCATGCGAGTTGAGAAATGATATTAGTGCCCCTTGACTTTACTAAAGGCCAGACATTTAAGAAGCCATGGAAAAAGGAAAAGCGGATGAGGACAAAATTTGAAAAGCAAAGAATAAGAAGGAACTGTTTAGGTTCTCTGTAAGTGACCCTCTTCTAGTCTTCTTTTTTTTTTTTCTAAAAAAAAAAAAGGAAATGGGACGTGATATTATCACAGAAAGATAATCGTTTTAATGCTAATTGGTCGTAGATCAACATTCCCACCCGAGGACTAACTAGTGCAAGTTGGTTAGTGCAGTGTCCAAAGCAATTTGGCCAAATTGGGGACAATGTCGGGCACTTGTTGGATTTATTTCACTAGCTAATAAATAATGACACCTTTTTCCCCCCGACTAAAACCATGTAAAACACTAAAACTGTACATAAAAATGATAAATAGAAACTTTAATTTTAGGGTAGTATATATCTAGTCATAGTGCATGTTTCCAAATGATTTATCTAAAATACATCAAACGAGAAAAAAAAAAGAAAGAAAGAGAAATATACATACTATCGGAACCAAATATACATCTTAACAGTTCAAAATAAAACCTAAGAGTAATAAATATTGGAATTGTTTTGAATCCATCGTTGAAAACTTCTAAGAAGTTTAACAATGTAGTCCGGTCGCAAAACTGGTCTCAAGCGGTGCAATGAAAGATATTGTTGATTTTGTTCATATATAGAGTGTATTTTTTTTCAAGAATATGTTTAATTTCTTTAGAAATAAAATCATTTTAAAACATTGTGTTATAGCGAGACATACTATTAGTATCCTATATTTTTTTATAATAGTAAAATGGTTCCTCAACGTTTGTAAAAACATCTTCTTGATATCCTAAATTTAATTTTTAAAACATGTAAGTACAAATTACCCTTCTTGTTAATTAAATAGAAATCAATATTATTTAAAAAAAAATCTGAAAATATTTTAAAACATTAAAATATTTAAAAGAAAACAACAAAATTAAAAAGTTCATGATTTTTTTTTCTAGATTTATTAGTTTTTGGTTAATTAAGTAGAAGCATACTAAAGCCATTTTATGTTTCAAAAATCAGCTTTAGAGTATCCAAAAATGTTTTTAAAAATCTCGAGGTACCGTTTTAACTTTTAATATGATCAAAAACACAGAATACTAAGCGCATGTTTCGCTATAATATGAGGTACTAAAATGCTTTTATCTCTTTTCTTATATATGTATAGCAGCCAATTTTCACATGCAGTCAATATTTATGATCTAAGACCATCTCTAATGCAAATGCTAATACCAATTGTATATTTAGTATCAAAAAGTGTGATAGGGTATGTTATTTTCATTTTTGCTCTAATGCATAATGTTATTTGAAATGCTAAATCTACTTTTCTTATATATGTATAGCAGCCAATTTTCACATGCAGCCAATATTTATGATCTAAGACCGTCTTCAATGTAAATACTAATGTCAATTATATTTTTAGCATCAAAAAGTGTGATGTGGTATGTTATTTTTATTTTTGCTCATGCTTTAATGCATAATACTATTTGAAATGTTAAATCTATTTTTTTGCATAATTATTGAGCTTTGAAAGTTGTAAAAGTAAACTTTATTTTATTAGAAAATGTAAAAATTACAATGATTATATGAAAAAGTAAACATTCCAATCAATAACAATCAAATGTAAAATTTCTTGTATACTATAGTTAGTGAAAAATTTGTCACAAAATATAATATATGAGAAATTTAGCACAATAAATAAAATTGTCTTGGAGAGTATTTTTTACACTCAAATATTAAATTTACAATTACACATTAATTATAAAATTACATTAGAGATGCTCTGAGAATTCCCAAGCTAGCTTTTCCTTTAAAGTATATTCGAATTTGACAACAGTACAAATTAAGGAAGAGGAGCCAGAATCCAAACAGATTTGGTAATTAGCCATATCTTTCTTTTTTTTTTTTTTGGGGAAATTTTCTAGCTAGTTCCGACAATAATTTGTCTATATCTTATATATGTCCGGCATCAATCCTAAATCTGAATGAAATAATGCACATATCGGATCAAACGTGTCACTGAACTTTCTTATACTAGAAAGTTTGTTAAAAAACAAACCCAATTAACAACTATTAGAATCTGCCATGGTTACCAAGTTAGTAAAGTAGACAAATTTTTTAAAAAATATATTTCACTTGACCAAGCTAAAATAATAAACGGTAGCTTTATTCTGTGTTGGCCGGTAGAGCTCAGAATTAATTAGAGGGATACGGGCAAGGCAAATACAGCCTATATTTAAGGTTGTTTGTTTATATACTACGTTCTCCTCCTAATTAATTATAAGTTTAACCATTTCTTAAGTTTTCTTTCCTATGAAAGTAACAAAAAAATAATATTAACAAAAAAAAATGGTATTATTATGTAATTGATATCGCGTACAAGACATACATCAAGCATGAACATTTTATAGTTTAACAAAATCTATGTCCATCTTATTGCTCTATAACCAATTCATATTTATTCTAAAAAGTCATGTAATTAATCCTGTAATAAAATATTCCGGTAAACTAAATATTAAATAGATTAAGTATTCAGTCCAGAATTTTATATTTTCTGGATGTTTCATTATGATAATAAAAAGCAAAAAAACTAAAAAAAAAAAAAAAAAAAAAAAAAAAAAAAAAAAAACTAAAAAAAAAACTAAAAAAAAAAACTAAAAAATTGTTATAACCATATGATAAAACAAAAGTTGTACAAATATAAATCAAAATCATATTGTTGGTTATATATTTAAAAAAAGGATAGTTCTAATCGATTAATCATTCTCCAGACTGTAGAAAATTCTTTTATAGCTAGGCATATTTTTCTAGTCATATGATTTAATTAGCTAGGTATAACCGTTACCGACGTACTTTGATTATATATTTTTTAATGAATCATGAAGAGAGAAAATTATTGATGTTTGAGGCCATTGGTACATCTTAATTATATTGGCACATTCAACTATGGACCTAATCCTCTATCTAATTCCTCGCTCAATATAGCTATATTACAATTAATGTAACATAATACATGTCATATAACAAAAAAAAAAATTATATATACACACACACTTCATCTAGATTTATTTTTTTCTCCTTTCTGTTGGAGATTATCATTACGTGGTATAAATTTCAATGTCACGGACAAAATTCTGAGAAGGTCGCATTTAACAGAAACAATTAACGTAATTTTTAGGACCAAAAATCCATACTAGATCTTGGGCATGCTATTTTTAATTTCTGATCTTGACAGCTATTATATAACAAATGAGCTCAAATAAATTATATAGTGGAGATATATTTGAAGTGGGATATGGCGTCATTGATATTGATATATTGATTAGAAATAACAATATATATTTGTGGTGGCATTAATGCTGACGTAAGTAAACAAAGATTGTAGAGAAAATGAACACAAGGATGGTGGCATCCTGCTTTAAGGATCCTTTTTGGTGGACTTGGGATTAAAAGATGAGCCCTGATGACGTGGACACCACTAATTTCTCGCTTTGTTTATTCCAATCCCCGTTTCTCGATGTATACCAGAGACCAAGGGTTCTCTTTAAGCTTAATGGTATATATTTCACAATTTAATACGACGTTTGGCTTATGAATTCAAATGATGTAATTAGAATTATTTTTAATTTACGTATATATTTTTGTGAGAAAAAATACTGTAGTGAATCACGAACCATGATTCGAATCAGGGAACGAATCTAAGTACCAAACGGACTCTATAATTTGAGTTATAAATTGAATTGTAGATGTTATGTTAATAAATTTGATGGTATAATAAGAAATGAATAAAAATTAAAAATAAAATAGATATATATATTTTACGTAGAAAATCTCTAAAGGAGACGAGATAAAAATCACGAGACAAGTGTATAAGAATTTTATTATGAAAGATGGAAATTACAACATTCTCTCTATATTACACGAGAAAAAATAATAAGAACTTCTCTCTCATGCAAATAGGAGAAACTACTCACAAAAGAAGAAAAAACCGGAGAAACTAAGGACGTATTTGGTAACGTTTTATACAAAAATAAAAATGAGATTATTTTGAGAATCAAGTAAAAATGAGATTGTTTTGATAATCATTTTGGGACCGATTTTAAAATTACGTTTGATTGGTTTTATAAAAGATTGTTTTGAGTATAATAAAAAAGTAAAATTGTGTTTGGTTATAATTATTAATTAATATAATATAACGCTGTTAATAAGTACTAGGAAATGAAAACATAAAAGGTAAAACAACTTTCAACCATTTTTTAATTCCTT